TCCGTGGCCGAGTGGTTAAGTTCGTGCACTCCACTGCGCCACCCAGGGTTCGGATCCTGGGCTCAGACATGGCGCCACTCGTCAGGCCACCTTGAGGTGGCATCCCACATCCCACAACTAGAAGGACCTGCAACTAAGATATACAACTGTGTACAGTGGGGTTTGGGGAGATAAAGCAGAGAAAAAAAAAGACTGACAACAACTGTTAGCCCAGGTGCCAATCTTCCAAAAAAAAAAAAAAATCTCAAATTCTGTGTAGATTGCATCATGTGACAACATGGATGGACCTCGAGGGTATTACGCTCAGTGAAATAAGTCAGAGGGAGAAAGTCAAATACCATATGATCTCACTCATAAGTAGAAGATAAAAACAACGACAAACACATAGCAATGAAGAGTGGATTGGTGGTCACCCCAATCCTTTTCTTAGATGTACTAACGAGTAGAGAACAAAAGGATGGTCATAGGTACAAAACCTTACCCTTATATTCTCTAATAAGGTGCTGATTTGCCGGAAAATGATCCCAAATCGAAATAGACAAGTCAAATAATTATAATTATAGATTTGACAGAATTTTTTAAAAGAATTTATTGAAAATAAGCTTACACATTTATAAAATATAGTGCTACTTCCAAGCCCAGCTTTTTTCCTATTTTCCCACTGTATTATTTTAAAATGAAACCCTCTAAACTGTAATTTTTTGAGGTTACAAGAGAACTAAGAATTGGGTTCAAGGATATTTAGTTTTGTTTTCTTCATAAGCTAAAAGTCCTGATAGATTTTTCTCAGCACGCAGACTGCTGTAAATTCTAATTTCTCCCTTTATGAATGACTACGGCATGCAGAATGACAGGGGCCAAGGATGAGCGCCATTTAGCGTGATTTTCCTTTCACTGGTATTCTATCACACTGAGTATGTGCTAAAACTGATGAAGAAAAAGAAAAAAAATTCCTAGGACCTTGTAAAACAAAACATTTTATTTCCATTTTATTAATTATCCTATAAGATACCAAACGAGAATAATCTTTATAACATCACTTTACAGCCATCAAGGCAGAGATCTGTCGATGCAAAATGAATTCAAAGAGGATGACATTTGGGGCCTGTTCTTCACAGAGGGAAGTATTTCAACTGGAAATTTCCACTCATCTCATACATCTAAGAGCCTAAAAGGCTATTAATGGATTAAAAGGGAGGCCCTGCCATCCTCACAGGCTATCATTATCCTAAATGACCATCCTCACACCCACTTCTCCAATTTCTGGACTGTATTCTCATCAGAAAACAGCGTCTCTTCTAATCTGGGGGAAATGCATAGGAATACAGGTAGCCACGCACAAAAACACCATTCTATTAACAAACACAGAATTCTCTACTAATCTTCTTAAACTTTGGTCCTTTTAGTGTAAAACTGGTGACATAATCACATTACAGGCATCTTCATTCTCCATTCCCGTTGTGGAAACAGAGGGCAAGTGGGAGAAAGCATCCTACTTTAGGGTGGGAGAGGAATTATGAAATGCAGCTGGCCAACTCAGTTGTCTGTTTTCATGCACGAAAGGTAAAAACATCCTTAACTCTACTAACAAGACAATGCATTCTTCTAGTTGAGTACATCTTGATGTTTGGCTGATTCTCAGCTCTTGTAACCAAATGGAACCAGAGCTGAAGGACTGTCAAGAGTCCCCATCTCCCCAGCTACCAGGTGCATTGTCTCTCAAATCATCGACTGAGCAGGAAAGACAGAAAGGCTAATTCAGAGCGTTACGATTGTCCAGATGGTCTAGAGCTTGGCTCCAGAAATCAAGATTTGCCAAAAACACATTAGTAAATGTGTCATTGGTCACCCCACCCTTGACTGCTACCTGAATGAAAATACTCTTTTGGAGATAAATTTCTGAAACACAGTTGATGGATAATGAGGCTTCATTCACCATCTGTGTTCAGGCAAGCTAATCTTCCTACCCCTGCAGTAAGCAAAATGGCCAAGTCTCAAAAAGTACACCTGGAAAATTCCTGATCGAGCCATTCCCCGCCCCAGAAGCAACACATAGAGACTTACTGGAAGATAAGACTCCTTCCATTTTATTGAACTACATCACAGATAAAACCGGGACTTTTGCCTCAGTGCATCTAAATGTTAAGCTTGAGTACTCAAATCTGTATAACTTTCCATTTGACCTGATAGGGCTGATAATTCAATTAGTGTAATGTCTTTTGAGGTGCAAGCACTTACTCATTGAGTAACTGGTAACTAAAATTAGCAGAAAAAAGGAAAAGTAAACTGAGTTGCTAAGAGGCAGCACGCATATGATGTAAATATCATTTAGATGGAAAAAAATCTGCTAATAGCCTTGAATTAATAATCAGCATTCTGGGGGTGGGGGAGATGTATTAGTCTAAACCTCCCCAAATGTTCCACAGACGCAATCAAGAAAGCTTAAGATGTAATTCATAACTAATTCAATGTATAAAGTGGTCTCACTTGAGCCATTCGTATTTGTCTGAGACTAAAGGCAATTCAGAATTGCAATGCCAACAAGCCATTCTATTTCTAAAGAAATAGAAACCAAAGTCCCCAAATCTGAGGGTTTTTCTGCCAAAATATTCCCTTGGTCTTTGGTGAAAAGCGGATGTGGTCATAATGAAAATATTCACTTTGGTTAATAACCCAACTGAATGACTTGACTTAGTCACTATCTGATACATGAGACAGACCGTGATGATGAGAAGATCAAAGGATAAACTGTAGAAAAAGCAAATGAGCCAAGGTGTTCCCCAACTTGACATCCTCCTATCACAATCCAGGAGTCAGCAGCACCCTCCATGCCAGGTAGCATGTCACATGGAGAGGCCTCACATGGGGGAACATCTGTTATGAGCAAAACCAGATATGGTCCTTGGCCTTGTGCTGCGCTTAGAACAGCCAAGATAACACTTATTAGTCAACTCACTAAACCCACAAATGTGGGAACTGCTGAGAAGGGCCCGTGGTACCATGGGAGCCTAGAACGGCAGATGTGATTATTCAGGGGTTAGGAACCGGGGCTTAACAGGGAGAGGAGGGGAGGCAAGAGCTGTGTGCTGAGTCATTCTTCATTAAGGAGTCCTTTGGAGAAGACTTCGGTCTTCAAAACCTGAGTAATAAATTTTGCTAGTGGAAATGAAAAACTACACATTTTCCAAGGATACACGTAAGTGTATTGATTTATCTCCAAATTGATAACTGGGCAGTATGCCAAAAAGTTCAGTGATATTCTGGATGTCATTTAAGTAATTTTTTAAAGGAGGTCGTCTGGCTATTTCAAGATGGTGGTGACCAGGAAAGAGGGAGAAAGATAAGGTTATGGAAGAAGGATGAAGAGAAGACAATGGAAGGAATATTTTTTAAATGAACAAACTCAAGTTTCTTGGGAAGGGAATAAGTACCATATTTCAGTGTGAACTGTTAAGAAAACTTGAAGGACTAGTAAAAGCCAAGGGAAAAAATGTCCCCCGATTGCAAGCTTTAGCAATTACACCTTAAAATTTCTTCCATTACTGGGCTCTAAATGCTGGTTATGCAGCCATTTTGACGGTAGTGGGCATCAATCAGTGATGTACAGTTAAATATTAAAATGTGACTTAGACCTCAAAAGGATGGTACATTCCTCAGGCCCAAGGTTTGGGCATCTCTTAGAAAATCTGGGTATTCCAAGCACGGTTAGTACTTGTTAGTATCTACAGCTCTAGGGACCATGGGTATTACAACTAGTTGTAAGTCAAAGACTGGAGGTGATCTAGTTACTAAGAGCAGTCTCTCGGCCCAAACTAGACTAGGACAGCTAACGAGGTCAAGGCAATGAGACTAGTTCTGTGAAATTTACCTGGACTTCAGCCTTTTTTTTTTTTCACACTGTAAACACCTACGCCTCCTGAGACAACTCTTAAAGGTCCTCAACTATTCTGTATCCTCAAATTCGACACACGGGTTTTTTCTTAAATATTAAGCGTGGTTGTCCACATCCTCCTATAAGGATATCACAAAACGGGTTAGGGGAAGCCTTGCTAATGAACACACGCGTTGGAAAATAGATCTAAAATACAGCGATGGGAACAAGTCCCAGTCTTGGCGCCTGTAGTGGCCAAGAACAAATATTTCAGCCTTGAAGACTAAGACCATAAAATGCAAAATTTCTAAGAGGTTCAGACTGCCTCCATAGACCGGCGTACTGCAGGGAACGCTCGCTTACGCCTCTGACCGCATCCTCGGAGAACTTCTAACTACTGCTCCAGTATTTGTTTATCCAACTGAGTCCACAGGCAATGCACGGAGCCAAAAGGAGGACGCTGCCTTTTTGCTAAACCTGTCATTCCCTTTGGAAGTGCAGCGTCTGCCCAGGTTTTCTTTGGCTCCGAGCGAGCTACACCCCAGGTTTTCTCTGCATCAAGAAAGCAGTGTCTGCTGGAGCCGCTGCCGCAGGAGGACAGGGTACCAAACCCGGGTTGCTCCAGCCACAGCTAGTACCAAAGGCGGTACGCGGCGGGAACCCATGGGTGGCCCGTTCGCCAGGCTGCAACACGGGTCATGGCCCAACAGCTGACTTTCCGCATCCGGGAGAGAGGGGGGGCCGGGGGCTCGACACGCTCCGCCCGTGGTCAATTCTCCACGGACTCCCCCAGGCAGCCCATCCGTCTCGGGCTGGGTGGTTCCCACCGGAAGAGTGTGGAAAAAAGGCTCCGTGAGCGGCGGGCAGGACGCGGATTTTATTACTGCGGATGGCGCAGTCGCCTCCCCTGGAGACCCACGACAAAGATGCGAGCCCCCGCCGCGCGCGCTGTGCCTGCTCTAGTCCCGCCCCGGCGCAAAAGACCCCGAAAAGCCCAGAAAGAGGAGTTGGTGCTCCCGAGTTGGCAGATGGGCTGGATGGGTGGGAAGTTGTCGCAGGCAGGAATCGGAGAGACCACCACCCTCCCCACCCCCGCCTCCCCGGGGCAGGTGGCCCGGCGCGCCCGTACCTTGCTGGCGGGGTCCGGGGCGGCGAGGGCCGGGTCCCCCGAGGCGCCGGGCGCCGCCTCCGCCGCGGGGCCGCCGCTGCTGGGCTCGGGCTCGGCCGGCGTCGCGCTCCCCGCCTCCGGCTGCTCCGGGCTCCGCTGCTCGGTGGAGCTCCCGGCGCCCATGGCTTCTCCGCGGTTCTCCCGCGCCCGGCAACCCGGTTACGCCTTCCCCAGCCGCAGGGACGCGGGCAAGAGCAGAAGCCGCGAGGTCCCAAGAGCGCCCTCCTCTCGCGTCCTCCTCCGAACGCGCCCAGGCTGCGAATGAAGGAGACGCGCTCGCGGCAAACTCCTTAAAAGAAAAAAAAAAAAAAGCCACCTCTCTGCCGCCTCCTCCTCCTCCCCCTTGTTTTTCCCTTGCTTCATCACATGAGCACAGCCCCAGACACGCCTTGCAGCAGCATCTCCCCCCAGGCTGCTGGGACCCGAGGCGCAGTCAAAGCCTCGAGCCAGGGTCCCGGCCAGCAGCCCACCCCAACCCCAAGGCACCACCCGACAATAAACGGCCACTAGGGCTGGGGGGCGACCCGGGGCCGCCGAAGGTGAGGGTAGGGCCGAAAGCCCCCCGGGAGATTGGCTTAGCTGGGGTTTATTAAATGAGTGCTAACCCAAGGCAGGGCTTCTGCCGCAGCTGACTTGCAACTTGCCCAGAAGCGAACCCAAATCACCATTTGCTTTCCTTTACATTGTGTTTGCCTCCGAAGAACCTTCGTTCCTGCCTCCTCCTCGTTTGCAGGAGACAGCGCTCCTTGGCTGGTCCGGAGTCTGACCATATTAGGACACCTCACGTGGCAGGAGCAGGGAACCGAGAGGTTAATGCAGTCAGGCCACAGATGAGGTGGGCCAGGCGGCCCCGCGCTCTCCTATCATCCGAACCAGTGATGTCAGGCGATGCCATCAGCGACAGTGGCCGCCCTCCTTCCCTGGGGAATTCAGGGAAATGAGACTGTTACTGGAAGTGTGCCTGTCCTTTGAGGGCCTGATGCTGGCGGTCCAGGCCACGTCTCCCTACGCCATGCTGAAACCTGACGACGTAGATCTGTTCATTTGCCATCAGTATTTCTCCATGATAATGGCTTTAAATAACGTCAGCCAAGTGGCTTGCATTCTTTCCCTTCATCCTCTTGAGTATAATACACGGTATAGGACTATAGCAGGCAGGCAATAAATATTTGAACCAAATTAAATTTGTTGCTGGATTATTTTGCACACAAGCCTAAAGGTGATGCGGCTGGAAGAAAAAATACCCCAGTTCTAACTGGCAACTAAGTGCCTTACCTTTTGCAAACAGTTGGAATCGTCATTAAAAATGAAGAAACTTTCGGAAGAGCGGAGCTAGATACCAGATAAATATCCCATACTCAGATTTGGTGCAATTAGTATAATTTAGTACAATTGATGTGAGCAGTAGTTGAGCACTAGGATATTTGGGGCCTAATTAATTCCATGTAGTATAACAGCACCTGAGAACCATAGGTTAGTTTCCGGCAGAAAATTTTTCTGAATTTACCATTTTTATTTGAAGAAGTCAGAAAGGGTAGTCTTTCTGGACTTTATCCCATAAGAAGCAGTATACTTGCAAAATGGTTGGTTTTCAGGGTTTTAAGCATCGCACCCATTTGGACTTAAATTTGGACTACCTGGGAAACAGAGTATTTATCTGTACCAGGCACTGTTCAAATCACTTTGCATATAGAATCACACTTAAGCAGTACAAGGACCCGATGACGTCATAGATCTTACTATTCTCATTTTACCAGTGGATGGGAGAAAGTAGGCCAAAAAATTAAATCAGGCGCTCAAGGCTTCACAGCTGGTAGATGGAAGAGCAAGAAGGCCCCCCACACTGAACGGCAGCCCAAGCTTCCAATGTGTTCTCTGTTCTTGGGATCGTTAGTGAAAAAGGGCGTGTAGACCTGGTGGAGGACGCTAAGAGCCAGAAATGCTGGGAAAGCCCATTTGAGAATGATGAACGTCAGCACACAGGAAAATGTATCAGTAAGTAGTACAAATGCTATCAAAATTTCCCATTCTGTGAGATTATATTTATTCAGTCCGTGGGAAATTCTTAACAAAGCTTTTCACATCTACTGGCCTTTAAATTTTCAGAAAAGATCGCAAGGTCAAACATTTCAACAGTGCACAACCCACATGCTTTGGAAGACATTGCTCGTGTCTGCTTAGATTAGCAGCTACTTGCTTTCTGGTTCTTTTTCAGGCTATGAAAATGTTCATAGTCTTTTTTTTTTTTTTTTTTTTGAGGAAGACTAGCCCTGAGCTAACATCTGTTGCCAATCCCCCTCTTTTTTGCTGAGGAATACGCCCTCAGCTAACATCCGTGCCCATCTTCCTCTACTTTATATGTGGGACACCTACCACAGCATGGCTTGCCAAGCGGTGCTATGTCCGCACCGGGAATCCAAACCGGGCAACCCTGGGCTGCCAAAGCGGAACGTGTGCACTTAACCACTGTGCCACCTGGCCGGCCCTTGTTGAGTTATTTTTGTTAAGAAGAGTAGCTATGTTATTTATTATCCCTAGCAGTGACATGGCCCAACCTTCTGGATATGCTACTTAGTGCTCAGAACATTACAAGCCTCATTCATTCTTTCATTCATTCACTCAACACATATTTATTGAGTGCCTGTTGTGTGCCAAGCACAGAGTTCCTCTGTCTCCCACTTAAGGCTCTAAATCAAGTCGCCAAGGGTTTTGGAGACCCCTTCAGAATTGCTTGCGTTCGTGGCGGTGATGAAGAGGAAAGCAGCTGTCCTCTGTTTTCCACTTCTCAGCCCAAGGCTGTCAGTTACCCTGAATTCTGTCCAGCAGCCTTTTCGCCTCCAAACAGCAGGACGCAGGTGTCCCCTCACATCCTCTCCCATGGGGCAGTCGGTGGCAGAGTTGTTTCCCCGAGAGAGTTAATGCTCATATAAAGACAGTTTGAGAATTCTCAACAACAAATACCCGTTGTCCACACTGCCAGCTGAACTTGTCTGTTTACTTGTATGTTATGTTTACTTCTGCAGAAAGACAGGTCACACGAGATTTTCCAATACAATTGAAAGTCATAGCTGGGCATCTGGTACACCAAAACATTTCCAAATATGTTTTAAATGAATTCACAAATGTGAAACATTTTACAAGTGAGTTACTACAACCCCTGAAAGCACAGTAATAATTAGAATGATTAAAACAGAATTTAAAACCAACACTTGACTCGACCCCACAGATTCATTCTCTAGCTACAAACCCTTCAGGCAATTCCACTTGGAACTGGCAACTCCTCAGCCGTGAAGACTTCCCGCTTCTTTGCTTTCCCTAAATAAAAAGCCGACTTTTTTCTGAACCAATTACTTACATCCAGATATCTAAGAATCTAACTCCGACTCTTCTCTCTTTCTAATTAGAAACTAGAAAACTAAAAGAATGATTCATTTTATTCCATTCATGAGAAACTAAAAATCCAACATTCATATAGAAACTATAGAAAAAGTTCAATCTACAGACGAAGTTCAAAGGTCAACCACCTGCAGATACACGTCACAAAAATAGGCGAATGTTATTTTTCTAACTTTTCAGGAATGTCTTGCTTTGGGGTAAAGTATAATGCCAGCTATTTGTATATCAGTTTCATTTACTAAGATTTAAGATTGGGCTCCTGACTCAAATCTAAGATTACTCTAAAATAACAAAGGTGGGCAGGTAATCCTTTCATTTATATTATTTATATATATGTGTGTGCATATATATATATATATAATTTTTTTCCGGTCACTGTGGAAGACTTTATGGAAGGAATTATTGTGGGCTGGTCCCATGGCCAAGTGGTTAAGTTTGTGCACTCCACTTCAGTGGCCCAGGGTTCACCAGTTTGGATCCTGGGTGTGGAACTACACACCACTCATCAAGCCATGCTGGGGCAGCATCCCACATAAAAGAACTATAACGACTTACGACTAGGATATACAACTACGTACTGGGGCTTTGGGGAGAAAAAAGGAAATCTACTAGAAGCACTGATTTACAGAGAATTAATTTGACATACCTGCCACCACTTTGTTAAAGATGTGGCTAAATATAAACAAATAAATGAATGTAATTGCAATGCAGTCACCAATAAGCCAGTATAGCTTTGGCTCCTCATTTTTCTAGAGTCGGGCTGCTCTCCACCCCCTTATGACTGGAACCAAAATATAGTGAATAATTTGTCCAATATGGAGAGAGAATTTCTTAGGACACGTTTTTGGAGGGTATCTGAAGGTGTCCAGGGCTTCATGACCAGAATCCTCATGACTTCAAAATCCTTCACAAATTCTACAAAGGATGCTGTAAGTATCCAGCATTTTAAAAAAATATATTTTATCACACTAATTCCACAAACTTTTATTGAGTTAAGTGCCAGGCAAAATGCTTGGGACCTTTCAAAGTTTGTTTTCATAAGTCAACATTGCTTACTCAGAAAAGACATTATAAAGACATACATTGTAAACTATCGAGAGATTTTTATGTTCCTCTATTAACTTCAATCCCTTTGTGAATTTTTAGTCTCAGATCTGCTATGTGTTGTCTTTGACATCAGAAAATAGTTCAGTTATGGGGCTGGCCTGGTGGTGTAGAGGTTAAGTTTGCACGCTTTGCTTGGGTGGCCCGGGGTTCGAGATTTGGATCCTGGATGTGGACCTACACACTGCTCATCAAGCCATGCCGTGGCAGCAGCCCACATACAAAAGAGAGGAAGGCTGGCAACAGATGTTAGCTCAGGGGCAATCTTCCTCTCCAAAAAAAAAAAAGCTTCAATTATTTTTTGCATGTGATTAAGAACCCAATGAAAAGACCAATACCTGACCTAAAGAAGAATTACTGGGCCGTCCTGGTGGCACAGCCGTTAAGTTCTGCTTCAGCGGCCTGGGGTTCACGGGTTCAGATCCTGGGTGCTGACATGGCACCACTTGTCAAGCCATCCTGTGGCAGGCATCCCACATATACAGTAGAGGAAGATGAGCATGGATGTTAGCTCAGGGCCAATCTTCCTCAAAAAATAAAAAAACCACAATTACTAAAATAGTATATAAGAGAGGTTGACTATTTCTTTCCATTTTATAGTGTTCCCATCCAAATCTCAGCCCATGTCCTGATGAGATTCTGTATTCCTAGGGATCGATCTCAATTCTATCAGCTGCTTTTTTTTTCTTTTTTAATGACTTCTTATCACTCCTACAAATGCATTATCTATAGGAGGGGTAGCTGTGACAAATCAGAAGAAAAGATAGATAGACAA